CCCCAAAACCCCAAAACCCCAAAACCCCAAAACCCCGAGTATTTTCAATAAAACTGAAAATTAGTTGTTGATGAGAGCTTTTCGAAAAACAAAATAGAGTATAATGATCCTCAGATCAAAAGCTGACTCAAGGTTTGAATTTTTGGAAATAAGCTTCTCTTGTGGCATCTCAGAGAAGGCTCCATCCTTGAAGAAATCTATGATAGATTTCTGTAGATATTGAATTAGTCTTCGAATTGATCCATGTCTCTGGAGATTCTATCCTCCAGTGTCTCGTTGTACTCATCATCGTTCTGGTCTTTCTGCTCTGGGATTTGTGATGGATATTGGGGGAAAACGCCTCTATCTGCTGCTCCAAAGTCAAACCCATCCATCTGGGGAACGGTTCCAGAAAAATACTCGACTGGGCCATCATTGTAGGAGTCTTTGAAGCAGTCAAAGTATTTATCTTCCTCTTGGATTGGTTCAAATCTATATTCATCAGTCTGAGGACAGCTTGCTTCTTTGGATAATTGGGGGAGAGCTCTTATGGACTCTTTCTTGCCCATGATCAAGTTTTCGACATTTGGCTGCCCTTGCATTATCTCCTCTTCAGATTTACTTTTAGCTTTACTTGAGTCTATTCTTGTTCAGATTGAGAGCAGAGTTGTCCTTTGATGGAAGCCTGGAACTCTTCAGTGGTCCATCAATATTGTAAGTTCCAGCAAAGCTTTGTCCTTTTCCGAAAGCTGAACTGTTGATTTTACCAAAATTATCAGTTGACTTCTTACTTTTTGGCAGATTTTGCTTAAAATTGTCAAATTTTGCTGTAATTGGTGGATCTTGGATATTTAAGAAAGGCATTTGATTATTCTGAACTTGAGGCATCTCTTCAGGCTTTTCTTCAACTTGAGGAGCTCCAAAGGTAGCAGTGAAAATGTTTTGAGAGTTAGAGATGCCCTTATTCTTATTTTTATTCCTTTTTACTTTAGAGAATCCTCCACTCTTCTTCATGTTCTGCCAGTTCGAAATTTGGCCTTGGGCATAATTATTTCCATTGTTGTGCTGAAACTTCTTGATTTTGCCTTTACTAAGAAACTTGGGATCCCAAGAGCCGACTCTCATTTCTTTCTGAGGGTCTTTCTTTTTAGTCTTCTTAGTTTGAGGGTTTTGGTTCCTGTAAAAGGAAGGGTGCATATCTCCCTCAATCTCTCCGAAGTTGGGCCCATTGTTCATGGTTGCAGAGAATGTGTCAAATGGTTGGCTAAACAACTGTTGGCTTGGGTCTCCAAATCCATCTCCCATCTGCCACGGATCTTGAGCTATAAGTGTTTAGGAAAATTTCTTTCTGATAATTTTTCAGAAATTCATTAGAATTAAGATGCTTTTAAAGGATTTTTAGGAAATTTGGTCGAAAAGAGATATATGAGAAGTTGAAGGGTAAATTTGGCGAGTTTTTAGCTTAGTTTAGATCTGGCTTACTTTGATTTTGAGGCATCTGGGTGTTCTGGAGAGAGCCATACATATAATTTTGATTCTGAGGAGCCATCTGTTGACTGGAGCCTGTATTCATCATTGGTTGCTGCATGTACATCTGCTGGTTGCTTGGGTATCCTCCATAGTGCATATTTTGATCTGAATAGCCGTATGATGCTCCAAGGTTTGTATTTGGTTGCATTTGGGGTTGATAACGGTTGAATCCAGAATCATTTTGATTGTATACCATCGAATTCTGAAAAGGTGGAAATCCTTGGCTCACAGGTTGCGGAGGAGGCTGCATATGTCCCGTATTCTGCTGGGAGAAAGTAGCTGTAAATACACTTGTGCCAGGACTCTTTTTCTTTACTTTATCAGGATCTATTTGTAATAGAGATTATACTTACCTTGATTATAAATTTTGTCTTTAAATTCTTGAGATATCGCATCGAGTGAATTGAGGTTGAACCCTTTGAAGTATTCATCATCTAGGCTAAGGATTGGAGGTCTATAACTTCTAGAGTTGAATATTTCTTGCTTCTTCTCCTCAGATAATTCTTTCTTAAAACCCTTACTGAATGTAAAATCTGTTGGGTCACGAAGTATTTGGGAAGGGCACGATCCTAATTTTTCATACATTTCGTCAGACTTATTAATTCTTGATACTGATGATGAATCACTATTATCATCAGGGTCTCTAATAGAGCTCTGACTGCTCATTCTCGGGCTATTCCCTCTCTCCGGAACAAAAGGCCCTTCGTAGTTGTTTCTAGAGATGAATGGGTGCTGTTTAGACATGTTTGGTGTCCATCTTTTTCTGGGATCAATATGTAAAGTCCCCTTTACAAAATCAAGGAAGCATTTCTTAGTCTGAAGTTTGTCATTCTTAGGTCCATTGAAGTTCTCCAAATCATCTAAGGTTTTGATATCTTGCATAAAATTCAAGGGAGGTACATAAATGCCCTGCTCCATCTCATATTCTTGCTGGCTTTTGAAGCGATATTCATATTCAAACTCACTGATTTGGACAGGACAGAAAAACTTGTGGCTATTTGTGGACATTTCGATCATGTCTTTAGGAGGCATTCCGAGTAGTTCGATAATTAACCGCAGCTGATTATACTCACAGTTTCCTGGGAAGAGAGGGAAACCTCTGAAGAGTTCCACTCAAATACATCCTAAAGACCACGTATCAATTGCTGTGTTGTAAGGCATCCCCATGATCACCTCAGGAGACCTGTAATACCTAGATTGGATGTAGGTATACACAGTGTGCCCATCATAGCATGCTGAACCGAAATCGATAACTTTGAGATTTGTTGATTTTGGAGAACAAAGCAAAATGTTTTCAGGTTTCAAATCTCAGTGGATCAATCCAACTTTCTTGGTCAACTCTAGAGACTGTAAAATTTGACTGATAAGAAGTCTTGATAGGTTTAGAGAAAGGCCTGAAAACTTGTTCCTTTCTAATAAATCATAGAGCGAGTATGAAAGTAATTCGAAGACAATGCAAAGATGCTCTCTGAAAACGAAATAATCTAGCATTTGCACAATGTTACTGTCGTTCATATCATCAGCACAATTAAGGGTATGAAGGATTTTTATCTCAACTGACCCTTGATTTCTGTAAGTCCTCTTATTCTTAAGTACTTTTATGGCAACTAACTCTCTTGTAGACATGTTCATGCACTTTATCACTTGGCCAAAGGTCCCTTGACCAATAAGCTCCTGAATATGGTACTCTTGGCCTTCAGGAGAGAGAATAATGTCACCTTCTCTGATAATGTAGTCACCATTAGGTAAGTCATACCCATTGTTGTAGAATTCGTAGCAGTCAGGAGGGATTTTAGTTAAAATTCTATGATGCTTTAAGTGGGAGTTGGTCTTGTCAAGGTTAGCATCAAACTGGATTTTTAGCTTCCTTTGTTGCTCAGTGCATTTTCTATCCTCAGGGAAGCATTTCTGGTAATGCTCCATCAAATTAATGGTCATTAGTCTAACTCCATGAGGCTTCACCTTTTTCTTAGCATCTAGGGGTTTTCTTAGCTTTGGCTCATATTTGACGAAACTTCTATTTGTGAGGATTTTCTTGAGGATAATTAGGAGAATCTGGTGACATCTGCCCGATGTTTGGAATGGAAGTTGATCCAGGCTTAACCATCGTCTCGTGGACAATAATTAAATTCTGAACTGGGCCATGGTCCGTTCTATTGCTATTCTGAGAATGAATGCTTTCTCTTTCGCTTTTTAATTGAAGCCCAGCCATTTGCTTATCACAGTTTTGAAAACCTATACAAAATTGTTATATTTTCCTTAATTATGAAACATTAAGATGATCATCAAACATAGGTGAGAGCGAAGCTCCTTCTCTCAGAAAAAGTGAAGCTCATAATATATTTCGAAAAATCTCAAAAAGTTGATAGGCAGACTAAGTTTAGCGCCAATCTTTATGGGCTGGAGGAGTGGCTTACCAATATCCATTTTTGATTGGAGCTCATTTAAATTATGCTCATTGCTCGTAGCTGGCTCTTTGTTAATTTTCTTGTCTTCAGAATCGGGGTCGGATTCTTTGCTCAAGCTTCCTTGGTCGTTATTGAAAGAAGGATGTACATGCTATATTAAAATAGTATGAATTTTGCTCCTTGTACACCAAAAGTAGAGAAAATCTGACTAAACTTGAAGTATTTACCTGTGTTGTACTAAAATCTTGTCCCAATTCGTCAGTCATAATTTCGTTAGCACCATCTGAGTTTATCTAAAGGATTAGTCAAGTGGATCTCTAAGGAGAGAGAAAATTTATGGAATAAAGAGCATCGTACACTAAGGTTATGCTGGTTATTAATTTGACTGTCCGTGACCTTCCCACTCATCTTTAAATGTAAGTCTTAATAATAATATTGTTTTCTAAGCTGAAATAGATGCAGGGGTTTTGGGGTTTTGGGGTTTTGGGGTTTTGGGG